ATTCTTACTAGGAAGTCCGAACAACCGGTTCGCATAGGTCGAATACTTTTCTAAAGAGACGATTATATAGGAAAAAGAATGTCAGGGAACTTTAATAACAAACGCGATCTTACGTAAAAGATTATTTTCGCGTAATCGTGACACTGACATGAGAGAAAGAGATATAAGACGAATCCAGGATGAAAAACCGGTTTGGTACTCTGAACAAAATATTACGGCATACTCGTAAATATATGCATATACATATGCATATAATTTCATCGATCAAACGATCGTTTGATGAAACACAAACAGAATAAAAAATTAATATTACTTTACTAAAATCTTAAAAACAAAAAAATTAATTTATTAATTTATATCTTCTTGCAGAATTTTTAATTGGATGGATAGAATTAATAATTTGTTTGCAGGCTTTTGTCTCACAATCAGTAAATGAATTAATTCCAGCCTAAAAAGTTTCAAAAAAGAATGATTGATTTTTAAAATCATCTAGGAACATTTTCGGTCCATTTCGTATTTGAAAATTTCTGAATAAATAAGTTTCACTTTTATATATTTACTTCTTCAACTATTTTCTATATCAAAATACGCGTATCTCGTGATTTTTTGATCGAAATGTAAGATGAATTCTTAATTGAAATATCGAATTGAATGAAGTTTATGTCACGAAAAGGATTTAATTGTTATCAATACTTTAGAAATGTGTTAAGTTGTTGAACACTTGTCGTATCGTTTGGCAAACGGATATGGAACATAACGGTGGGAGGTAAGCAAAATAGTTCTCTCGGTCATTGTGTAACTCTATTAAGCTCGTCAACCTACTTGGGAAGTAAAATTGACACGAGCGAGATACGATGGCTGTAAAATGCGAATCCTGGGGATGACAGGAGTAATAAAGTAATAATCAACTGTATTCGAATGATCTTCTTACGTCAAATTGTGTTTCATTTTAAAATAAATTATATGACATATATTTATTCGAAAAAGAAAAAAGAAAACAGAAAGAGAACAATTTATTACATATAGATAAATCTATGAATTAAAAATTGAAAAGAAAATAAATAAATAGAAATTTTGTTTGACCTTGCATCGCCGATAATCGATTCATATTTTTGTCCTTATTGGAATATTAATCGATCGTGACTCGATTAGAAATATCGATCGAAAGTTAGGAACAATGACAATTCATGCACCACCGTCGATTTTAATTAATAACGTCAACCACACCACTTCATTAAAAGGATAGAACACGGTGTAAATCGTAAAAGGAATGTTTATTTCAATTTAGTATGACGCACACGTGAACGTCATCGAATAGGCACGTCGAGAGCATCGCGATAAGTATACTCGTTCCAAATGGAAATATAACCGAGTTAACATTATTTTTTTGTTTTTAATTTAATCTAAATAATATGTAACCTCAATAACGATGAAAGTATGTTTTATCCTGCCGGAAAGTTTAGCGGAGAAATGTTAAGAAATAAGAAAAAATAATAGAGAAAAATAAAAAAAAAAAAAAAAAAAAAAAAAAAAAAAAAAAAAAAAAAAAAAAAAAAAAAAAACGAAAAAATATACGCTTGGAAAGTTCTATCGATCGTTTAGATTCCTTTCAGTTGGTTGTTGCTAAGCGTCCTAAGCTCGCATCAAATGTTCTACTAGTCGTGAGAAACCTTACGTACTTCGTTGTTCCATTTCGAAGCACGTTCTATATTGCCGATGTATTCTTTTCTTTATCTTTTCTTTGCACCTAATCTAACATAAGCTTCACTCGGATTTATTAAAAAAACACGCGAATGTTGCACGAATATATTTTTCATAGTAACCAAAATATTCCTATATATAAAAGAAATAATAAAATATAAATGTATGAACAATAATTATTTATAAGCAATTTAAATTGATTAACATATAATTCAAAAATTAACAATTACCCCATAAAAAAGAAATAATAATAAAAAATAAAAATAAACGATCAATAAATTTGTATGTTAAAATATTAAAATAATAGTGACTGGTTGGCTAACATTTTACTATCAATATACAATATTACAATAACAACAATATCACTGTGTTAAGACATTTATGTCAGGCTGTAATTTGTTATGTCACATCCGTTTTACGGTACTCTCATTCTCTTGCTCGAACGCTTTTCACTTTTTTCTATTTCTCAAAGTATTTCTGTCTCGATAAAAAGAGAAGACATTGATAATAACAACAGCGATGATATTAATCACTTGTTATGTTAGTGTAGTTGTTCCATTATAAGAAAAAGAAAAATGTGAGCATCAATTTGTGTTTCTTTTTTTTTAAATAAAACGATAATTGATTTTTTGCAGTAAGTATTGTTAATCGCCATTTTGTATATTTTAAATTCGTTTAATAATCTATCGAAATAAGAATCGATGACGCATATTAATAAGTGCATGAAGTAAAAAAATCGTCGAGAATTTATCGTGGCAACGAGCATGACCAAGTAAGGGAGACGAATTCTCAAGGATGCGTTGTCCCTTCGTGGAAGCTTACACATTTTATTTCGTTGAAGGGAACGCAACCGCTGATGTTTGGAAGGTCAATAAAATGAGATGGATGGACATTAACTATCCTATTACCTTTTCTAAAGATACGAATATACAGAGTGGGTCAAAAGTTTGTAGATTATTCCTATCAAAAATCTATTTCTCTTGGTTTGATATTTTTTTCAAGCAAATCTTGTTAAATTATAAGCCTAATTTTTATAAAAGCCTAAAAAATCTAAAAAAAAATAGAATTGAAACTTTTGGCATACTTTATATGTATTATATTAATTTATTAAACATTTTGAATTATTTATTTGGTAATTTATTTTGTTAAATATGTTGATTTATTTTTACATTATCTACTCATATTTTTATTCTTTCGTGATGTCATCTTTCTTTTTCATTTACAACACTGCAATAATTATATTTTAATATAAAATTTCAAAAAATATATAATATACCAACTGTATTTTATAATAATTAAAAAAAAATTATTAGAATGATTAATTTTTTGAATTATTAATATCCATGTCAAAACAGATTTTTTTCCTCAATTCAAAGAATTGTAAAAAACACATTATACAGACATCAATAAGATAAGAGAATACTGAAGATAAGAGAAAATTAAATAAAAAATTTCAACATTCAAGTTTGATTTCACATGATTAATCATTCGAGCTATTGAAAGGTCGTCGAGCTTGCTCATCTTTAACACACAAAAGAAGAATAAAAAGAAAAAGAAAAAGAAGAAGAAGACGAAGAAGAATTTAGAGTGCATGTTCCAAATTCTTCACTAATTCAAAGGAATTTGTAATTTCTCGTAAAAGAGACAAAACAGAAAGTGCATGTAAAAATACGCATACACATGGGAATGAAAGATGACGCTTAGGAAAATTTATTCCTGAACGCGTTCCGGGTGGTTCGCTTACGCAAGCAAGCAAAAGACTCCCCCGACATTCCCCAGCCCCATTTCTCATCCTCAAACCCCGCTTCCACCCTTTTCTCTTCTCAAGGAGTTCCAAATAAAAAAAGATGCAAGACGGCTGGATCCGCGGCTTATTTTTAGAACGAACATCAACGAAAAAGAGAAAGAATGTGTATGTGTGTGTGTATTTGGCTAACACACTGTGCAAGATGCAAGACTTGCTTGCTTGGTACGACGTTGTTACCAAAAAAAGATGCGTGCCTTAGCGGCGCCATATTTGTTATTCTTCAATTTCCTTTGTCAAAATGTCGACAAAGAAAAATATAGGTGAGGCTAAAAATTCCTAGGTAATTTAAAATATTAAGTATTCTTTTTCAAAATATTTTAGACCAATCTTCCTTTCAGATTATAAAACTACAAGCTTGGGAATATTGTTAAGATGTAAAAAAATGTCGTGAAAAAGAATAATCAATATCAAATATCATTCAAGAACTTCTCGAGCTCATCTCGCGCATTTAAATATTTATGATTTTCGAGAGGAACGATAGCGTTGCCATCTGTCGAACGTTTCGAGTAACATATTCCGCAAAGATGAAATCAATTGGCTAACATAAGTTCCATATTTTTTCTTTCATCTTTTTCTTTTGTAATTGAGATTAAAACAACGAGAGGTAAAATGTCGCAATCCTATAACAGACCCCCAGTTTATTATTTTTATAATTAATATTATTTCAAAAATATGTGACAAGAATTCAAATGATTACGTCAGAAGAAAGAAGTTCTTAATGTAATTCTATTATAACTTGAGCAAGTTTTAAGATGAACATAACGCATTTAGGCCTGTTCTTGTTTGGGTTCTGAAGACTGATTTATAAAAGATATGAACTAACGCAATACTAATTTAAAACATTTGAGTCTACTGTTTTGTTTGATAATTCTACGTAATTGATCTAATTCGACGTAGTCGTTTAACTACCGCGATGAACTTTGCACGAACTCATGGAATTTTTGCATGTCACCGCGTTAATATACCCGTTTGAATATAAAATAACAAGAATAAATTACAAGATTTATATACAGGATTGAACATTTAAATCAGAACAGATGTTACAATTGAAATGCTCTACTATGATTATATAAAAAATATATATATAAATCAACAACGAGTATCGTTTGAATTAGCGTATATAAATAGAGCATGATCAAATATAGTGACATTTCAAATGGATAAATACATATCTACATTGGTCACGTAATCAACGCCCACGCCATTGTGTAGTATTAAATAAATGAAAAAGAAAGTTAATCGAGATAGTATTAGAAGGTAAAAGTCGATTATACTAATCTCTCACTAAAGATTAGTGATTTACTAATCAAATGTGTAAAGAAAAAGAAAATAGACAATTGATCTTTGGTCAAACATTTTCCAGTCATCGTTAGAACTAGAAAAATGATCTTTGTTTGGAACCTTGTCGCGTTGTCAAGGCCACTGTGACGTGACCAAGGTTATCAGACATATGAGTATAAAATAAGAATATTAAAAAAGAGAACTGACTGACCCGCTTCAGTTGATTGCCCATGATATTCTGTAATTCGTTCCTGATTAGACTGAATTTCATCATGGTGTCGCTGGAGAATATGGAAGAGCCAAATGCGAGTCCAGGATAATCAGCACATCTTTTTCTTCTTCTTGCTTCTCTTTCAGCTTGTACTTCGGCCCTTTCGCTGGGACACCTGAGTTTAGCCAACTCGGCTATTTCAGGGTCCTCTTCGACATTAGTTGATTCGTCGTCGGAATTTCCATCACCTCGAGCCCTCGCGACCGCGTGCTCAGACTCGAGTCTGTCGAGGAAAAATTTCTCTTTCATTTCGTTGTCATCGTAATCGATTTCATCGTCTATTTCTTCTTCTACTTCGTCCAACAGCAAGTCGTTAATTATTTTATTACTTTCTTTCCCATCGTCCTTGATTACGACGGTTCGTTCGGTGTCCCAAGCACGTGGTGCATTAACGAGCCTAAGTTTGCGCGTCAGATCAGTGCCTTTTAAATCCTTCGTCCTACGACGATTATCGGCTTTCTTCTTTTTATCTTTCTCCTTGTTATGACCATTATCTTTATCAATGTTCGTATCCTTATCGATATCTACGTTATCTTCCTTGTCCTTTCGAACTTCAAACTGGACGTCCGGGCTACACTGCGCGAGCCTTGATCGGACGTCCAAATTCTCATTATTCTCAACTTTCTTTTCATTTGTCCCAATAATCGTAATCTCTGAAATAGTTTTAGTTGCCGTCGTAGTATCTTTACTGATAGTTTTCGTAGATTTGTTCGATTTGACATCATCGTTATTAGCTTCGATTCTTTTCGACAAAGAATCTCGCAACCAATGGGAGCCCAAAGAGGTTGTCGTCTCGGGGAACCCTGTATGATCCTCAAGGAGGATATTGTTATTGTTGTTGTTGTTATTGTTATTAGTATTATTGTTTGTTGTTGTTATACCGGCAGGGCCACACTGCGCGGGTCCTCTGCCGGATGCCTCGAGACGTCTCCGTGTCGAGTGACGCGGGTGATGCTGATGACCGCGACGTCTCGCGGTCGACGCCGGCAAATGCTCCATGATCGGGACGATCCTGGACGGAACATGCACCAGTATGCCAAACCTTCAATTTTTAATAACGACAATGGACGATTTTGACTAAAAGTTGCGACAAACTGACCAACGATAACTATCCTTGGACCTTTAATAACTAATACTCGATAAAAACGTGTTCCTTTAACACTGTAAGCAGAACGCGCGCGCTACTTTGCGACGTGTCGTCGTGCTGAGCTGCACTCACGTCTTGATTCTCTCTTATTCTTTCTCTCTCTCTCTCTCTCTCTCTCTCTATCTCTGTCTTTCTCCCTCTCTTCGTTTTCTTCTTTTCTATATCTATCTCGCTCGCTCACCGCATAAGCCCTATCGCCATCTTGTCTGTCACTGGCTCTCGGGCGACACGTTTCTGCAGTCGCGCCGTTCACCACGCAAACTTCATCCCCACTCCTCCTCTATCATCCTCTATCTTTCTCTTCCATCCCTGTCTCTCCACCATTCTCTTTACGATCTTAACGCCTTCTCTCTCTCTCTTTCACCCTCTGTCTATCCCCACCTTACCAACCGATGACTACAATTCGGGTTAACCCCTCTCCAACCTACCGCCTATTTACTTTCCTAACTGCCCACCCACCGTCGACTGGATGCCAACCGAATGCTCACGAACCTCCCCGAAACACACATGGGACGAACGTTCGTGCCCGATTTCTAAACACGAACTGCGTCTACGCTAAAAGAGAGAGAGAAAGATAATTGTTTTTCTTTCTCTTTATTTCTTTCTTTCTCTCTCTTTCTCTTTCGTAAGATTATTCGTCACGAATCTATCGAAGCGACATCTACTTTATCGAGGAGTACAGTCGGTAAACGCAACTAGCGCGAACTGGTGGAACATATTTTTACTACCTGCCAGTTTCAAAATTTTCATCATTTACTTACGTAATTAAATTTTTTTCTTTATTTAGTAGTTTTTTTTTGTTTCAGAATTTTCTTCCAGATGATAACCGATGTTGGGACGACGTAGCTCGATTAAAATTGGTACTGATGTGTACTTACGTTCTGAAGGGCCTTATCTTTCTCTTCCAATTTTGCATTAACTTGCATAAGAGCTTCCTGGGTCTGATCGAGCTCGTTCTCGATGGTTTGGATCTTCTTTTGCAACGCACGTGCTTCTTCCTCAGCCTAAACGATAAAATTTATGATTATTATTATTGATATTATTATTATTTTTATTATTATTATTATTATTATTATTATTATTATTATTATTATTTCGATACTTCATTTACTCGAATGCATATTTTTTTGATAAAAAAAAAACGTATTCCGAGAAGAGCAACCGGTATTTTATAATTGCATCATTAAAATGTAATTTTTTTTTTTTTTTTTTCTATTTTAAGGATCGATGATAATTAAAAAGATTTAACGATACTAACCTTCTCAGCACGTGCATTGGCATCGCGAGCCTGTTGTTCGCAGAGCAAGGCGCGATCTATCGCACTCTCCTTCTCGAACTTCATTCCCTGCATCTTCTTCTTGATCGCGTCCATGATGCTACTTTTATTGGCTCACTCCTTGGTTACGATAAATATCTGCTTGGAAAAAAAATTTCTCATATAATTTGTAATTATTGTCGAAATTATTTGTTATCGAAATAATCCAATAATTTAATTATTGCTCTTTTATCGCAGTCTTAAATCATTAAAAAAAAAAAATGTTCATTTTCATATTACATTAATAAATACTTAAAATTTTCTAATATACAATATACTTATATATAATAAATAGATTAATTTAAAATTCATTGTTTAAAAGTTTCAAACTCCACAATCCACTTTTGTGTGCACACAAAATTCACACAATAACATTCATTACATAATAAAAAAAAAGAAAGATCAGAAGATAGAAAAAATTGCATTTCTATTATCTTTCAATACATTTTCTTACTTCATATTTGTTCTATCTAAAAATAAATTACAAAATCAGGAAGCTAGAATATCCTATGAAAATCATTGTTGCATTCAAATTTTCGAATTGACGTGTAAAATTGGCGAATGATTGTATAAACAATTATATAGATTAGCATTCTATTAATAAAATCGAACGTATTAGATTCGATAGAATCGAATTCTCCTTTTCTTAGATTTTCTTCTTCCTCTTCTTCTTCTTGTGTTTTATTCGATAGAATTTCTGTTATAGAAAGAATAAGAGATCTTCCAAGTTCGAAGTATAGTCCTGGCTGTTGTTGGCTTCGGAGAGCTATGGTATGCGCGTCGTCGTCCTCAGGAGCGCTCCAAGGAGGAAAATAAAAGTCAGCAGCGGCCGCATTCAGGTTTTATCCGATCGTTTCTCCGAGCTCTGGCCACAGCTCGCTTAAGCGGCCAGTAATCGACGTGCCCGCAAAGAAACCACTTCTACGATCTTTCTTCCACCCTTTCTTATATTCTTTTTTTTTCTTCTTTTTATAACTTTTATTTATTTATTTTCTTTCTTATATACTTTTAATGCTTTCCTAATTCTCTTGTATATATTATACATTTAATTATAAAATTATTAATAAATTAATTTTCGAGGTGCCAGATAAAAAATTAATACACAATCTGACTGTTTTTGTTTATTAAATAAAAATAATATATATTACAAAATATATTTTTATATATATATGTAAATATATTGTTAATCATAAAAGGTTGGTTATCAAGTGTTTCTAGGTGATATTAAATGCTAATTTATTTTTAGTTTAATTTATAAGATTGCAAATACACACCGGAGTGTATAAAAATTTACTAAAGTTAGCAATTCATTTTGAAAATCACTTACAAACTTTTAACCTATCCTATAAAATATTTTTGTTATTTATATTTTTATTTAATTTTCATATATAGAAAAAAGAATATAGGAAAAAACATCTTGAATGAAATAATGATTATTGAAGAAAATATATTAGTATTTTTGTCGTACCCTAAATTCGTTAGATTGTATTCATAATCTGATAAGACTTGATACGTCTAAGCAAACAAATTTGGTTTCTTTCTCCCTCTCTGTCTATCTCTATTCGTGTTTCTTTATTTTATCAGGCACTCCGAAACTAGTTCCCTCGAAACTAGCAGACTATATATATTTGCATCATTCATAGCGTATTTTTAAACTGAGAACGGCCGTGTTCCTTGCTCTCGAATATCGCGTTCCTGCTTTCGAAGCGAGCTCTCGTTCGCGCGCGGAACGTAAGAAGTACATTGGCGTATCACACGATAGATCTCTCTCGTGTTAAACAGAGCGAAATTTTTTTACTTTTTTTTTCATTTTAATTCGTCATCCTAATTCCCCTTTAACCGTTAGTACAAATCCAAGAACAAAAAAAAATTAAAAAAAGAAGAAAAAAAAAACACAAAAACAGAAAATATCGAAATCGATATCGTCGTTGATTTATTTCTTCGATTTGTCGATCGAATTTTTTCTCGGTCGGATAATATTTTAACTCATTTTATTTTGTTTTTTATCATCCTTAGTACGCCAATGCGAGAGAATATACACGCATATCCGCGTCACTGGTTTATGCGCGAGCGAATGTGCGCGATTTCGAACGAACGAACGAACGAACGAACGAACGAGCGAGCTGCTTTTGCTGCTGCTATTGCTTTTGCTGTTGCTGGTAATCAGAGATGCCAGGCTTCTCAACGAGGAACAGAAAGGACATCGAGCTTCCACAACGTGTCTTAGAGGAAAACAGATATACTGGGATATGGAGGAGGATAGTCCGATAAGAATTTGCTTTGCTTTCGCTTTTGCACGGAACTTTCATTTAATTCCTGTTCTCTTATTTTCATTTTCTTATCTTCGTTCATTTTTCATCTCTGGAGTCGAATTCACTCAACCGATTATAAATATGATTGATTTTAATTCAAATTAAAAAACGTATTCCTATAGGAAGATTTGCATATTCGATCGAATCAAATAAAAAAAAAGAAAATAAAAAGAAATGATTTTTAAGAAAACATACGTGCCGGTAATTATTATAATAGTAACTTGGGTCACGAAAAATATAATACAAATTTAATTGATGATTTGTTTTACGATATAAATAATTTCAATATATGGTCAACCAAATAATAATAATTTTCATTAAAAAAAAATAAATTCAATAAAATTCAATGCAATTCTCCGTGACGATGAACTAAAGAAAATATGAAAAAAAAAAAAAATAAAACAATGAAATACAAAATATACGAGTACGATTATTTTTTTGCATTTTCTTCGGGAAGGGGTGGTGGTGGAGGGGGGGGGTTTAAGAAAGAAAGAAAAAATAATTCGAGACGTATATATCACGAGAGCTCGATCCAAAGTGCGTGCATCGCGACCGAGGGTTATTTATAAGTGCAAGAGGGAGGTGAAGGAGGAAGAGGAGGAGAAGGAGGAGGTGAAGGTGGTGAGGAGGGTGGTAGGAGAGATCGTTACCGCCTGCCGACATCGGACCATTTCGGGTTACGCACAGCGAAGATCGACCCTCGGTGTCTCGTTACATCCGCGCGATATATGATTTTCTCGAAAAAGCGACATTTTTGCACCTCTTCTCAATTCGGGTTACGATCTGCAACGATTTTCTTTAATTTTACACGCGAACAATTTCATTATTTCTCAATTCAATTTACAAATTATAAACTAGAGAGAAAATATAATTTTGTACTAAATAATTCGATATATGAAATTATTATAATTATTATAATTATTATAATTAACATAGGTAAAAGTAATTTAATTATTTTTTTTGTTTAAAATTATTACGACGATTAATTGGACGAACGTTTGAATTTACATTGTTTCTTGTTACATTTCATCTTATATAGTATTGCAAAATCTTATTTTTTATATAGTGATATAATAATTAAAAAAAAAAGAAATTTATTTTCGATTGAAAATTTTGAAATTTCGATCGACTTTTACGTAACCAATCGATCGTTACAAAATCATTTTCTTGTATTTTTTCCCTTGTTCGAATCGTGTTCTCGTTTTTGGCAAAAGTTCATGATTAGCAAAAAAATATATATTTATATACATCGAAATCGGGTCGATTCGGAGTAACTCGAGCTCCTTCGCCGAGCTATGTTTGTATACGCATGCTAAAACCAAAAAAAAAAAAAAATAAATAAAAAAAAATAAAAACTAAAAAGAAAAAGAAGAGAGAAGAAAGATCTTGTGAGTCATAATAATATACCACCGATGATATCAAAGAATTTTATATTCAATTCTCGAACTTTTTCAAATCCAACTTTCCAACACATAATCCAAAACATATTAAAAATTATCTTTAAACAAAATTATTCAAAAAGAATTGATATTTTATAATTAAAAAAAAACATATGCAAGTATTGAGATCAGTGAACGTCCGATTTCTATATCGAACAAGATCTCGACCTTGTTCAATCTCGATCATAAACGAAGGATACGTATGTGCATACTTAAATCTCAAGGACCATCTCAAACACGAATAAAAAATTTCCAATTCAACTCTTCCCTCTCCCTCCCTCCCTTTTTTTCTTTTTCTTTTTCTTTTTCACGTTTCGAATACTTCAGACTCTCCTACGTTGTACATAAGTTTTTTTTTTCTTTCACAACGAGATGCGAGTTTGCACGTTCGAGAATTCCATAAGCTCGTTGATCTATCTCTTTCTCTCTCATGCATTCCCTTTCTTTCTTTCTTTCTTTCTTTCTTTCTCATTCTTATGCTCATGACTCAA